CAACAGCAGCTTATTTCCAGTATTTATTTGACTAAACAATGGACGTGTGTCAGTGCCTGTGTTTTCCTTCCCTCTGAGTGGAGCCATTAGGCTTCACTGAGACTTCTGCGGTGGGTCATCATATCAAACCATAGTGGACAGACACCAGGCACACCAAACATCCAGTCCATTATTAATGCGGTGAGGGTAGACTGTCACAGCGGCTATGATGGAGAGTTAGTATCTGCAGTATTTCACCTTAGTCCATCCATGCCTCCACCAATCATGAAGTGTGTCTAGGTTTACACGGCATAGTCTTTATTCACTAAGGAAAGTGGGTGGGTCTTTCTGTTTGTATGAAAGAAAGACAAAGAGAGCTGCAGTGGAATTCTGAAGAGATAAATACCTAGATATGGGTCAAATCCCAGGCATCCACGGACATCTTTACCAGACTGTTTGGGCATTACTTGGCCTGAGTTTGGGGTCCAGGCCGATTTATAGTAGTGCCGCTCGCGTCAAAACCAACATATATCATGGCAGGGCTCTCTTGGCGGCCATTATCCCCCCAACAATGTAATCCATGCACACAAGTGTGCCTAGCGCTAATTTATGGCATACTGATGGATTTACACCACTCTCCCCATTAGAGTGTACATTACCTTGGGCATGTTATGTAATGGTGTTAGGGAGATTTGGGGAAAGGATAACAAGTAATAAATTTGAGCTCTTCTGCAGTGAGAATGAAGAGTCTGGGTTCAGACTGGTCAGAGTCACAGTCTCGCTGGACCTTGGCTCACTGACAGTGTTGTTTCTTTGTGAATCGTCATGAATTCTGCATAATTGAGGTGTTAGTGCTTGAAGTAAGTTGAGAGGTCTTGTGTTGAAAGTGCTTAAACTAAAAATCACAATGTCGGCTCAATTGGAAGCAGTTGGCATAATGTCGATCACAACAAAATGATTATTTAAACAGTTATGCAGCTCAGATAATACACACATTTTAACGTAAGTGCATTTTTTTAATTATAAGGCTTCACATTTCTGTTTATAAATTGTCCAAGAATTAGTTCCAAATAAGTTTCTTTCTAATGTGGTATTTAACATTATGCTATAATGAAATTGATTAAGGTTAATTTCTGTTGAACCTAGAATATTTCTTAAATTACTATTGGCCGTTTGTAAAATAGCATAAAAAATAGCATTTAAAATAGAATTATAAGTCTTCACATTTCTTTTTGTAGATTGTCCAAAAATTATTTCCAAATTAATCTTCCAAAAATGCTTTCCATCCAATTGTTTCTCACTGTAACCGCAGTGTTTGCTTTTTTTATGAAAATGAGGTACGTTTTTGATGTAATAAAATAAATGAAATTTATTAAGCTTTATTTTCATTGAACCCATCTTTAATTAATGTTGGGAGTTTTTAAATAGCATGGTAAGTGTTGTTACTCTTAACATGTCCTTAAACACTTTGAACATTGGTGCAAACAAGCTATGGTATTATTTTGATGCAATTAAAAAAAAATGAAGTGAGAGTACACTATCATTATAACTCATACAACATAAAGCGAGTGATGTTGAATTATTCAAGCCCTTTAATTACCAAGAATCACCAAATTTCTCATTTAGATGGTACACCACAGCTGATCGAGGCACCTTCCAGACTATTTAATTGTAGGCCATTCTTTTGCAATCCTGTCACTGATGGCTCAGAGCTCTTGTGGAAATTCTGCACCTTTCCTGCACCTTAGTGAGTCATTATGACTGAAAAAGGAAAGATAGAAGAGAAGAGATGTCTGATTTCCAATTCATCCATCCCTAAGCGCATATCTGAGCAAATATACACTAAAACTATTTACTGAAAGTGTACACAGTAGAAGTGCCAACATTAACACTTCTCTGCTGAAGCACAGCCAGGTCTTTTTCTTTTCTTTTTCAGGGCAATATTTAATGTGAACTAAGATGTCCTTTCCATTTGAAGAATAATAACGGCTTTTTCTATATTTGGCCAGGGACATCAAGACCTGGATGTTTCTCATATAGATGATGAATTGCCTTCATTAATTTGTGTACACCTGGCAGTTTTAGTATTTCGCTAATAAATTTAGCCTCTTATTGGCATACTTGCGATGCCAAGCAGAAACAAATTATACATACTCATTGATTCATATTTTCTATTTGGCCAAAAATGTCAGAAACACAACGGCAAGAGTGAGCGCCCCGAAAAGTTCAGTAATGGGAGTGATGGCAAAAATCCAGGTCGCCTGAACCATTAGAATTAATCTAAACGTTCTAAACGAGAACCTGAAACACCCTGCTCAGAGATCCAGTTAGATAAGACAGTGATCTTTGTCGATAAAACAAAAGTAACAAATGGCAGGAACTTTACAGCTAATTTGGCAGAGATAATCTAAAAGAATGGGAAAAAAGTGATAAATGAAGCTAAGGGAAACTCTTTGGCCTTGCGTCAACGGCTCAAATTAGCGCAAGTCTTTGATACTCTGTTAACCAGTGGATGGCACTGGCTTCTGGAGTGAGGAGTGGTGAATAATTCTTATTCTTGTAAGGGGAGTGTTTTCATTTGTAAAGATGAACAAGATAAATAATTTATGATTCTATCCTACGCATTTTAGAAAACACAAATCTAGCTCCAGTGATTTACAGCCATGGCCATAACTTTAACCAATGTGCTAAAATCTTTTGCGGTGAGGAAGTGTGCAAATTTATGTCGACATCTCCCCAAAGATATGGTGACAGAAAATAATCTGTTCCGGTATTAGGAGACATAATTTCTCAGGATATAGAACTCAGCCGAAGGTCATGTGGATGCTAAAATATTGTTAACAGGAACACATACATCAGTGCATTGGAGCAACACCCACGAAAGTGTTTTTGGGCATGCTGGACATTCTTTCTCAGGGTTTTATACCAAGATCTTTTTAGTGAAGGCCTTAACTTTTAGGAGTATGAGCATATCACGGAGTGAACTCTAAAGTGTCAGGGGGAAAAAAAAGGGAGAGGACAGAGATAACCACTGGGATTGAAGAGGAGTAACTGTGGGAATTATGACCAGCTCACACTGATGGGGTTTGCATGAACCATATTGACACGGCGTTGCCTAAGCTGGAGATGCCGGACCCCTGTGATCACACCACATGTGTTGTTGTAATATTTAGAAGATGCTTGCATTCACTTTTACCCTTTCTGTGTTGGAAATGGTGCTAATGGGTGTTCTTGTTTTCTTAGCTGTTATGAGAGCTATATAGTCTAACACTTTATATATTTAAAATTTTGAAAAAAAAAAAAACATTTTAATGAAAGGTGTGTATTCTATCTTTTTCTTTGTACTTTTCTGTATTTTAAAGTTTCATATTCACAGTTACAGTAATGTAGTTGTTCACATCTCTGTAAGTGTACAAAGGCAAGATCACATGGCTCGTTTTGAGATGATATAATTAGTCATTGTGAATTATTTGAAATGGTTGCACTCATGATTTTGAAAATGCGTTTGATGTTTTGGTTTTATGAATCCCACTTATCTTTCAGACCACTTCAGTGTCCCAAACGTTTGCTGTGTTTACATCTGAATCCCTTTTTCCAGGATTTGATCCAACATGTACAGGGACTGCTTGCTCAAAGCCGAAAAGGGGAAATATATATTTTTTGTATCGCCACAAATCATAAAAGTTTGAGATGGCTCAGGATGTGGAACTGTAAAGACAAGCTCCAGACTCTGATTATTTTAGTGTTTGTCACCACAGTAAAGGAATGTGCTGCTGAACTCTTAAAATAACAATAGATGTCTCATAAATAAGTGTTTTAACAGGGTAGTGGAATGTAAAATCCATCTTATTTGAGAAATAAATAAAAGAGCTTTCATAGATACATAAAAATCTATTTATTGTATAAATTCACTGAGAAACAGGTCTAAAATTGAAATAGTTTGATGTTAATACAAAATGATAGAATCTTTTAATACCACATTATTTGAAAATGACCAGATGGTGCATACTACCCCTATTAATGCAACTGTAAATATATTTAATATAGTCCACAATGCTCACAGAGTATGTAAATTATGTGTAAGTGAACCACAAGCAATTGCACAGGCTTAATTTTGCTCTGTAATTATAACAGACACACTATGGAGGCCTGTATCAAAGGCACATGTGGTAAACATTGATTTAGGACTTTGTGTTCGTCAAACACAATTTGGTTTTATTTAAGAGCGTCTTAGATCTGAAGTTCTGGAGAATCAAAAAACATGACTGGGCTTTTAAGAATGTAGTAAAGTTTTTATCACAGCAGAAACCTCTCCCAGTTGAAACAATGTCTGAAATGTAGACAAACCAATATCCCAAGAGTTGTTGCACATTGCTGACTATGCATCTCAGAGCATTTTTTAACTCCTTGATCATTGTAGGTACTAGAGGTAGATGAATCGGTTTTATGTTAATATATTTTGCTTAATTTAATTAATAATTACAAAACATTCTTATTGTTGTTAAGTTAATAATTTATAACTAGCTTCATTTCAGTGGAATTTTTTCAATCAAATTTAAAAATGATAGACAAATTAATTTATTTTATACCCTCACAGTTGGTTGGTACTTTAGCAGTACTGCAGGGATCTGTCATACTATATAATATTTGTAGAACCATATTTGAGGATTATTTTACAACTTTACTTATTTTCTCAGATTTTCTTTATTTACTTATAAACTTAACTTATTTTACTACCTTATAAATACCAAACAATGACTTTCACTAGTTCTTTTGGAAAGCTTGAATGTTTAATAATGGTAATAACTTAAACTTAAGAATTTTCTTCTTCTTCAAATCATGTTTTCTGTCCTCTGTAATAACTGTCAGCATAAATGTACTGGCTCTTGTTACACAGAAATGTCCTGTTGGAACCTCTCATATAAGAATTCTCCCTTCCCCTTTTTGGCGATGAGCAGATAATTCCTTTTGCTGATGATGCCTTAGGATGTTCCTATCAAGGATGCTCTCAGTTCAATTACCAGAGCCTCTCCCTCTGTACATGTTTACGTTCACATGGAAGTTCACAGAGCTGTTTGAAGAATGTCAGACAGATAAACCAGTATGCTACATTCTGGCATAGTATGAGAGCCGTAGCCAACATGTCCAATTTGTAAACAAGGCGGCTCATCTTTTAAGGATGAAGAGGGAATACATTTCACTCTCTCTGTGTGTCGCTGCATGAACTTTTCTCCTTTCCCTCCAGCAAGCCTCTGGATGTAGAGTTCCTTCTATCCTGGAGATGGATGGTTCATGTTCTAATTCACGATAACTGATAAGCTCTTATTTCTTTGGAAGTTTTAGAGGTTAGGGAGGAAAATGTGACTTCTTGAATCACAAAAAAAGTTTGGAGTACTTGAAATTACTAGTTTTATATAGAGACCCACATGTAGGGGTATCAAATATAATATGGTAAATGTCGGTCCTATATGATTTGGTGTATGTGATGCCACACAGTGGCATGTGTGTGTGTGTGCTCCTCTCACATTTACATTTACATTTAATAATTTTGCAGATGCTTTTATCCAAAGCGACTTACAAATGAGGACAATAGAATCAATCAAACCACTAAAAGAGCAACAATATGTAAGTGCTGTGACAAGTCCCACATAGTTTTTATTTTTTTTACTAATAAATAAAAAGAATAAGAAATAGATAGGACAGAAATAGAACAGCAAGAGCTAGTGTTAGAGGGTCACGTTATTTTTTATAATAAATAAAAAGAAAACAAGTAGATAGAATAGAAAAAGAATAAAGAATGCTTGTGTTAGAGGGTCAAGTGTATATGGAAGAGATGTGTCTTCAGCTGTTTCCTGAAGATGGCTAAAGACTCAGCTGCTCAGATCACATTGGGCATGTCATCCACAGTTGAGGTAAAAGTCTGTGAAAGTGATCCCTTTTTGTCCCTTTTTGGGTTGGCACTATAATGTGCCGTTCACTTGCAGAACTCAAGCTTATGGAGGGTACACAAGTCTGAAGTAGTAAATTTAGGCAAAGGTAGTTGTTTCGTAGGCAAACATAAATGCCTTGAATTTTATGCAAGCGACTATTGGTAGCCAGTGCAAAATGTGATATGCGCTTTTTTTTCGGCTCGTTAAAGACTAATTTTGCAGCCACATCCTGGATTAGTTGTAGAGGTTTGATAGAACTGGCTGGAAAACCTTCCAAGACAGCGTTGCAATAGTCCATCCTGGACAGAACAAGGCTTGAACAAGGAGTTGTATAGCATGTTCCAATAGAAAGGGTCTGATGTTGTATAAGGCAAATCTGTAGGACCGGGCAATTCTAATAATATGGCCTTTTATCATTAATTCTGCTGCAGCAGGACATTTTTGCTAGTGGGTCTTCTTTATTTGGTTGCCAAAAGATGAAATAAAGATTTTCGCAACTCTAGGCAGGATGTATTGCTCATCTGTAGCAAGAGCAAGAAATAGACACTTTCCAAATGCTGCTTTAAACCTTGGCGCCCCTTGATTTATTAAAACTTCTGTTCTTAGAACACTGTCCAATATGAGCCAAGAGGCCCATATAGATACATATATAATGTGCTGGTTATATACAGCAGTGATTCATATCACGGTATATGCAGTCCTCTAGGTGAATGTATGTCAACCTCATTGGGTGAATGGCGAAAAATGGCACAGAGAGTTCCAAGCCCCAAAAATCAAAGGCTTATTCAAGGCACAGGCCTACTGCCACCATGGCATCTCTCTTTCTCTGGCGCCGGTCAATCTCTATGAGTGCAGGGATCCAATGATTTTTAAGTGTTGTTGTTCGCCCAGGACGTGAGGCAGTCATGTTCGTCTTGCAGGAGCGGTTTTATGATGACTTTATTTATAATGACTTATTTGGTGGGGGTTTATAGAGGAGCGGTCGGCAGAAAGAGGAAATGAATTAGCCTCTGCACAGATGGCTTTTAAGGCAAAATACTGCATGACAAATGTTCCCTGCCCTCCAGACCTCGAGCCTCAGTATAACAAATTGAAAACGACGATGAAAAAAACAGTAACAGGACACTGACTTCACAGTGGCATTGTATCTCGCGTCTCGCTACACAACATAAATATATATAGTAATAGTAAAAACGGGAGCCTTTAATCTTTTAATACCCCAGCCCTCCACCCCCTACTGACTTAGCGTAGTTGTGTCTATATGTGTCAAGTCTGCCTCATGCTGAGGGAAATAGTGAGCAAGCTCAGGAAGTTACTTACATGATTCTTCTATGGTGCTTTCGACGGTTTTGTATAGAATGAGTTCTTGTCCAGGTTCATAAATTCAATGGTAATGTTTCATGTGATGTTGATGCAGCCACTAGGTGCTTGGAGATAAAATTCATGCATTTCTATGGAGCCTCCCCTTGGAGGAGAGGTTTTAGCCTGGAGCTGTGTCTGCCGGCTGGTTCTCATTTAGAATAATGATGGAATCCTCAAACCTAACAGCTTCGGCAGAAGTAAAAAGTTCTCAAGATTCTCAGGTTTGTGTTCTAGCAACAGTGATGTCAAACCATCCACTACAAGGTGCAGTCACCATTTTCACGGACTTAAAATGTTTGATTTTTCTCAGACTAAACCAATAATTCATCTTTTTTAAAACAGCGGTGTCCAATTCTGTTCTTGGAGGGCCAATGTCCTGCACAGTTGAGCTCCAACCAACCCCAAAACAGTCTGAAAGTTTCTAGAAATCCTGAAAACCTTGATTATCTGGTTTAAGTTTGTTTGATTAGAATTCAAGCTAAACTCTGCAGGATAGTGGCCTTCCAGGAGCAGGATCTGACGCCCTTGTTTTAAAGTGTCATGCGAATGCTTTAGTCTGAGTGAAATCATACGAGTCCAATATTTGCTTGACAGACTAATATGATTGTAGCTTGGCATCAAACAATGTTGATAAAACTACAGTTGTCTTTCACTATTCAATTATGAAGAAAGATTGATTGACAATGTGGGGACTGCCCTTCCCAGACTGTGAGGTCTAAACCCACAGGCCACTTCACAGAAGCATCCAAACATTGCTAATCATTTAGATGCCTAAATGGTGTATCAACTTTTATGAATCTGGTCCTTCATCCAGTAGTTTCTTAAGGAATGTTCATCAGCTCTGATGTTGAGGTTCATTTCCCTCCTGCTGGTCTCTGGCGGTGGTCCCAACAGGGTTGAGAGAGTGCTGGATCTGTTCGGGACTTTAATGCTCCACTGCCCAGGAAGAGTCTCTGATAATGACTCTTGATCTGTGAGGCTGTCTCTGCCTTGTTATCTGGATGAGAGGCCGACTGGAGGCCGTAGACTTATCCTAACGACCCAGTCGCTCCGGAGGGGCCACCCCCTCTCTTTCTCTCTCTTTCTCTCTCCCTCTCCCTTTCTGGGCCCTTTCAAACTCTGACTGAGGCTCTTTCCACTTACAAATTCAATGTAACCAAGCAAATAATGCCATTATGTCAGAAATGGCTTGCTGCTCTTTCTTTAATGTTGTTGTGAACACACAGGATCAATCTTTGCCTTCTGTGGTCATTTTAGTGTGTGGCTCACCATTTGAGAGTAAAGGAAGAAGCAGGTCAAAGACTCGCCATATTTTTGCTCTGCACAAGATTTGACAACTATTATTATTGTATCACTGAGCTATCCTCCAGTGATTCATTGGGGTCTCTAACTCCTGCTGGGACTGTTACCAGAGTCCTGCTGTTCTGCCACATGCCAGGAAAGCACCGTAAACCCATAAACAGACTTTCAAAGGCATTTCTGTGCCCATGACACAGGCTCAACCTCAAAAAAGAGGACAATGATGGACGAGAAGAGCATAGAGAGGGGTTGAGGAGGGAGAGGGAGGAATGAGGTATTCATTTTGACACGTTGTGACGTGTTAAATAGGCTCCAGTGCTCCTGCTAACTGCTACACAAACACAAGGTGTAATTTTTAACACAGATGCTGTCAAATTAGCCACTTGTCCACATTAGCACTAAGGCTAGGTAGCATTGATTAGGCAATGCTGATTGAGACCTGTCTAAAGCATGAGTGGCCTCATTTACACCTGGTATTAACATCCATTTGGTCAGTCAAGTGGACAGAATCAAATATATATTCTGATCTGAAACACATGTAATCAAATTGCATTTGTAATATAAATTAAAAAAGCTTCCTGAAAGTCCTTCTTACCTGTCAATCATCCATTCCCGGTTTTAAACTTTCCTGGTTATGTGGGGTCTTAACCTGTAGATCAAAATATTTGGAAAAGTCCAAATTTCACAAAACATCAGTATACCACTGACATAAAAATAGCTTTAAATTAGTGCTGTCAAAAGATTAATCGCAATTAATCGCATCCAAAATAAAAGTTTTTGTTAACATAATAAATGTGTGTGTAGTGTATATTCATTATGTATATAAATCCACACACACATGCATGTATTATATATTTAATAGAAATATGTTATGTTTATATATTAAATATATTTATATATAATATAAATTATATGAATATAAATATATACTTGTAAATATTTTCAAAATATATATTGTATGTGTGTGTATTTATATATACAGTACATAATAAATATACACAGTACACACTCATATATTATGTAAACAAAAACGTTTATTTTGGATGTGATTAATCGCGATTAATCGTTTGACAATACTACTTTAAATACATTTTTGTTGTTGTTGTTGTAAATGAATAAATGTATACCTTTTTGATAGTTTATTATATATTTTTGTTATATTACATTATTTTATTATATTATATTATTTATTTATTATTATTATATTTTATTATATATTTTTGGAGAGATTAACTGAATGCTTTCTATTTTTGGATTTTCAGATTTAGCTTAAATGCTGAATGGCCCTTTGTTTAAACAAAATAAAATAAATATACTGCTATATGTATCAACAGAAAAGCATGAACACACATGTGTACTTGGACACATGTACTCTATAACTCACAGTGGGATACTTCAGCAGGACTCTAAGGACACTGAAGGCCTGGATTAAATGACCATCTGACTCCACAGGGTTCCATGTTCAGGCTTGTAGCTCATACTGTTTTCCAACGAACCATAGGTTTTATTATAATTATTACCTAGTCTTGTTTTTAAATGTGTTCTCTGTTAAGTTGGTTTATTGAACTGCACAATTTAATTTTGTTATTTTTTAAATAATAATAATTATTAAAATAATACTTATTTTTAAAATGCAAAGAGAAACCGAATCACTTGTGTTTTGTCTGCATGTCTTAGGCTGTTGAGTGCAGTGATGGGAAACCATAAAAACCCTCTTGACAATATATGAGATTGTTCTCATATATATGATACCACAGAAAGCATGCAATCCCAACATTTTAACACTAAGATATATCTTAATGTGTTTAATAAATAAAAAATATGAAAAATGTAATAATTTTTTAGAAATTTATTAATTTTATTTCTGACAGCTAAAAGAATCAGCAGTTTATTAAAGTTAAAACTCTTCAGTAATATTAATATGTGCTAGCAACACTTTTTTTTTAGGTGAGTTCTTATGTGAGACACAGTTGGTTAATACAATTTATTTTTTCAACCACTGTTACACTCCTCCTGAGATTGTTACACTTGAGCATTCTCTATTAAATTTTATATTATGAGCAAGTCGCTCTCATTTTTGGTCTGTTAACAGTACAGTTACTTTTTGCACAGTTTTTTTTTTTTTAGATTGATGTGTAGTAGTCTGTGATTTATAGGTTAAGTCTGATAGATTTGCATGCAGATTCCTGCAAAATGCAACATTGCAAATGCATTGTGCATAAAGAATACTTCAGTTACAACTTGATTCATGTTCCACTGAACAAATGGCAAGTCAGCAAAAACACATTAAAGTCACCATATGAGATATATCAGATTCAACAGGGCCTGGAGCCAAAAATGTCTAAATAGTCTTAAGAGCGAAGTTAGATTATTAATTTGAAATTCAAAATATTTTTTATCTAAATATCTGGCTAAGTATACAGACC